AAACTCTTTCATTATGTAATCCGTGCATTTCTCTCTAAAGGCACATCCCATGAGGAGATGGCGAGTCATATTTTTCATCATAATTGATGGATATCTAAAATGTAAAAATACGGAAAAGCTTAAAACAGGCCCGATTATAATTTGCGTTTTATTTTATAATTCCGTACAGTTAAAAAATAAAACACTAATGGCATATATGTAAAACTTTTTCCTATAATTGTATAGCTGCTTTTTCTGATTTTTATGTTGCTCTGTTCTGAATACCTTAAAATTTAAAGGATTTGCTGCAACGCAATTTTGTCTGATATGTGAATGATTTATTAACCTATTGTTTTTTATCCATGCAGCAAATGCTTTAAAAACAGCTTTAAAAATTTTAAAGTACTTTTCACTATAAATTTTACGGGTAGGTTGAATGTAAAACGTTGTCATCATTGTATTCCCATTTGTAAAATAGCCAACAAATTAATTGTTGTAGGCTAATCTCATGAAAGTGCGTATAGCATGATTTTCTGCTTCTATTTGGCGTAATATTTATATGCAGAAATTGACTTTGGCATGCAAAAGACTGATAAATTCATAATTAATGGCATGGCTGGTTCAGTCAACAGAAATACGGGACACACAGACCTATAATAACTGCTGAAATGTTTGCGGGGCAAATCTCAGGTCAGTCTGAGCGCTCATGACACGCACAGTGTGTACAGCCATACACCTGTAGGCGCCACTGTGTGGCAGTATGCTTCAAAGTTGGAAAAATTTGCAGGATTTGTTAATTTCCTTCGGGAAAATCTATGTAGGCTACAGTAATGCACACGGGCTTCATCGAATACTCCATGCATCTGTTGATTTAATCTTATGTGTGGATTATTTGGTTTCATTTAGTGTGAATCTCCGTTTTCAACGGCTCTGATAAGGCTAATAAACAACGTGATATGCGGCCGGCCAACGTTATACCAAGCAGTAGCCTATAAATTTAGATGTTCTCACATTTAGATCTAACATTTAAAATGTAACGTTAGATATTTAAAATATGGACACCTTTTGTTTGATCTAATTCTGGATATTTCCAGCCTAAGACGTGTGATTAATTCGTGTCTAAAGCCGTGTCTACACCAAGAGAACCCATTATAATCAGTTGATGCAGTGACCACACGGGAAGTGGTGCGAGGCAACAAACCTTCTACAGTAACTGATGCCTCGTTCTATCCCGAATCTTTGAAACATGCGTTGTATGCGTTGAAAGTGAAACCTAAAAAAACAGCGCGCATAAGAAAGCGATTACACGCTTTCGCGAACTTCAGCAAATGCACGCGATCACAGATTGCACGCTTCCCAGCCGAAACAACCCCCCACGTGAAACTGAAATAATAATCCGTGATATAAGATTTTGGCCATATTGCCCATCTAAGTCATTCATCCCACACTATCAACAGGCGCGTGCGTCATGTAGGCTACACTTCTTGTACTTCGTTTGGGCACCACAAGGTGTCACTGTGGCCTCAAAGCCTACCCCTCGCCTACTCTGGCTCAATTTCTATTCCTGAGGTAAAACAGGCCCTCCTCATTACCCTACAGACAAAGAAATGTAGAAATAAATAAATAAATACGTAAATAAATACATAAATGTGAAAATAAATAAAAGTTGAAATAAATAAATGTAGAAATAAATAAAAGAAAAAAATTAATAAATTGGAAAAAAAAAAAATAAATACACAAATAAGGAAATAAAATTATAAATAATTGTTTATTTTTGCTTTTTTACTTTTCTTTGTATATTTATTTATATATTTATTTATTTATATTTGCTTTTTTACATTTCTTTGTACATTTATTTATTTATTTATTTCTAATTATGTCAGGGATGGCATTCCACACAACAGAAGTAAATATGCAGAAAAGAAGAGAACAATAGCCATTTTTTTAACAAATACATTTTTAACAAGAGCAGATGTTTAGCAGAATGTTCACACTGCTCTTTTACAAACAATGAAAGCATATTTTAAAGCACAACAAAATATTAAAATACCGATTTAAAAATGTACTTTAATGCTTTCAATCTGATATTATTACAAAGTTTAGTTTTTGAAGTGCAAGTTTAGTTTAAGTACACTAAAGTGGCCTTATATTTTATTATTATTACATAATCAAGTACAGTTTTTTAAAAGTATACTTTTAAGATTAGAAGGACACTACAAATAAGAATGATTCATTTTCACAAGGCATTTTCAAAAACATCTTTTGGACTGCCATATTGTTCATTCTCACACACTTATCCGTCTGATCTCTGTCTGTAATGCAGGATCCGTGTGGCGTGCCATCAGCTCATCAATCATCAGATCTTCACCAACCTCATCCTCATCTTCATCGTGCTGAGCTCCGTCTCGCTGGCAGCCGAGGACCCCATCCGTAACTTCTCTGCCCGAAACATTGTAAGACAGCCAAGAAAAACCTGTTCTTTTTAATAGCATAAAATACACAAATATGGGGAATTTCTTCTTTAAACACAAGATCTAATTATGCAGCATCAGTTAGACTCATGAACTAGATTCTTTTGTTACCTTATTTTCTTCATGTTCACAGTTTGAAGGAATAATGATTTCCAAACAGGAATTCACAAGAAGCTTCAAATGCAGATTCACTGTTTACCTATTGAATCATTTCACTGATTCAGTGAACACATGATAGTATAAACCTTAATCAGGTTTAACGCCATATTGAATTTAACATGTCTATTAACTAGATCGCAATGACTAGATAATATTTAGCATATGCACATTGTAATGTCAGTGGATGATGGGCTCCTCTTGAGTCTGGTTCCTCTCAAGATATTTTTTCCTTCACTACCGCAACCTTGTCCCATTTGGCTGGTCACTTAACTGGCTTTAGATATTAATGCTTTGAAACAACATGGATTGTGAAGGAGCTGTAGAAATAAAATAACTTGAACTTTCTCCTTTCTTTGTGTGTCACGTTGCTCTGTGCAGGTTCTTGGTTATTTTGACTATGCCTTCACTGCTATATTTACAGTGGAGATCTTGCTGAAGGTAAAGAATCCTGTCTTATTTCCATCTGCACACTGTACAATGTGATTATAACTCTCTTACCTGTTCTAGTTTATAAAGATGTGCTTTACTAGTTTCTTATTTGGGGTTACTGAGTTGGACAGGAATTCACAACCCAATTCAGTTTTACTATCAATTTTATTGATTACTGATTCTGTAATAAATATAATCTGAAAGAATTCCTTTAGCTTCAAGCAGTTTAGTTCACCCGTCTTTGTTGTGTTCATCAGATGACTGCGTTTGGTGCTTTCCTTCACAAAGGAGCTTTCTGCAGAAATTACTTTAATTTGCTGGATCTGCTGGTGGTTGGAGTCTCCCTTGTTTCCTTCGGCATACAGTACGTACATATCACAACCAGCATTGCTGGATTATTTCAGTTCTGTACATTTGAAGACAGTCACTGTGTTCATGTTCAGCAGGTGAATGTTTGCTGTGTGTGTTTTGTCTGCAGATCGTCAGCTATTTCAGTGGTGAAGATCTTAAGGATTCTGCGTGTGCTTCGACCTCTGAGAGCCATCAACAGAGCCAAAGGACTCAAAGCCAGGCACTGCTATCTCTGTCTGACACAAGTATAATGTGAAGCTCACCAGATTTAAAAGATTGTGAAGATCTGTGTACAGGTGCTACAGTATTGGTTATATTCAGAAATGAGGTGCAGATTTATTGCAGTTAAAGTGAGAAGTCACAAAAATGTAACAGATAACAAAGAACATTTGACTTTGACAAAAAAAAGGTAACCCTTAATTTTGATTGTCCACTTTAGAGATTCTACTAACTAAATGTAACTTTGCAACTACATGTCAACTACAAGTCATTAGAATATTAGTAGTCTGTCTGCTTAATATCGGCTAATTCTTTAAGTCAAGTCAAGTCAAGTCACCTTTATTTATATAGCGCTTTTAACAATACAGATTGTGTCAAAGCAACTGAACAGCATTAATTAGGAAAATAGTGTGTCAATAATGCAAAAATGACAATAGTAAACCATAACAACTTCTTTTTCATTATTACTAATTTCTCTATACCTCACTCCTTGTTCAATAAAAGTTACTACACCTCCACCTGTTCCTATTTCCCTGTCTTTCCTTACATTTTCATAGCCTTCAATTCTAAAATCAAGATGAGGTTTTAACCATGTTTCTTGTACACAAATAACCTTTGGTTTCTGTTGTAAATCTTCAATATACTTTTTAAATTCCTGTCCATTTGCTAAAAGACTCCTTGCATTCCACTGAATTATCTCAAAATACATTATGTACCTACCCCATTAGTAGCCTGCGAACCTTGGGGACCACCTACAAGTGCTTCTTTAACCGACTCTACTGTTGTTTCTCTTATGTCCAAATATTTCTCAGCTGCTCTAATTATTATCTTAATTCTTTCTGTTCTACTTGTCGTTTGAGCCGAGCAATTAATCACCTCTGCCACGAATGTTACAAATTTAATTTTATCAACCACTAATGAATCCTTGTTGATTCTGCACTGATTCTTTTGATTTTGGATTTTCACGCTTGTAGCTTCATTTATTTTTGGTGCTTCACTACTTTTCACTCTTTTAATAGCATCAGCATATGATATTCCTTCTGTCATCTTGACATTTTGGACTTTTATTGCCCTTTTCCTGACTTCACATCCTCCATATGCTGAGCTATGTTCTCCCCCGCAGTTACAGCATTGCAGTTTAACATTTTCTCCACACTCCCCATATTGATGTTCTCCTGCACATTTACCACACCTTTGCCTACCTTTGCATACAGCAGCCACATGACCATATCTTTGGCATTTAAAGCATCTCAACGGCGGTGCTACATATTCCCTTACACTGTAGCTCATAAACCCAACCATCACTCTTGTTGGCAATACTTCTTCTTCGAACTGGATCATTACAGACAAACTGTCTTTCCTCACCCCATCCCTTGTATACTGCATCCGTTTAACTTTGCAAACCTTTGCTCCAGTTAAGCTCTTTTTAATCTCATCCTCTGATACTTCTGTTGGAATTCCATATATGACACCTTTAGTTGTTTTCCTCTCTTCCCATTTTGAGCATTTTACAGAATTACTTGCCAGTGTTTTTAATCGCAATGCTTTTTCTCTCTGCTTTTCATCTCTGCATATTAGCATTATATTTCCGTCACGTAGTGTTTTTGCATACTTAATGTTCCCTAGTTTCATTTTGAGTGCTTCCGTTATCTTTAATGGGTTCTTTGATCCAGGCACTTCAAATTTAATGATAACCTTATGTTCTTCCTTCCTTTCCATGATTCTTCGACTACTTTCCTCATTATCACTATCCGTATTATGTTGATGTACTTTCTTCCTTTTCCTATTTACTAGGTTCCACTCCATTTCAGTCCTACCTCCCTCACCAGCTTCTTCCATCCATTCCTCCTGTTCACTTCCTGATCCATCGTCACTTCCTACCATCTCAGCTCCAGTCACAGTTCAGTGCTGCCAACCGCCATAATAAAGTTATATTTATCACTTTAAACAACAGAGAGTAATAGAGATTTTACAGAAAAACAAAGCTACACGAAGCTACAATCACAAACCAGCAGCACTGCAAACAGGAAGCAGGAATAACACTGTCCAACAGCGACACCCGCAGGATTTTGATGGTGAATCTAAAAACACATTTTGTTTGGATGCAAACATTAGTCTTGCCTTGACATTCTTTATTGAGAATAGGGGTCATGTCATAAATGTTTGTTTGTTTGTTTGTTTTTGTTTTTACATTTTTAAGCATTATTTCAAAATGCTCTGATAACTGAACAACTGCAGTGTGAAATATTTTCAAAACAATCTCGCCACTTTTTGTAGTGAGAAGGAAGTGTTCGGACAATTCCTGTATATTTAATGCAGTGGACTCTTATAAAATTAAAATATCAGGCAAATTGCATTTCTCATGTCACGACTCCTTTAGAATAAGATTAAAACTCATAATCCCTTTTAATTGTAAAATGCACTAATGAACAAAACATTTTTCGGTAACACTTTACAATAAGGTTGTAATGTTAGTTAATGAACAATACATTTATTACAGTATTTATTAGTCTTTGTTAATGAAAATACACTCGTTCATTGTAAGTTCATGTTAATTCACAGTGCATTAACTAATGTTAACAAGCACAACTTTTGATTTTAATAATTAGTTAGTAAATGTTGAAATTAACATTGCCTAAGATTAATAAATGCTGTAGAAGTATTGTTCATGCTTAGTTCATGTCAACTAAAGTAGTTAACTAATGAACCTTATTGTAAAGTGTTACCTATTTTTCTTTTCTTTCTCTCTCTCTGCCAATGCAGCATGTGGTTCAGTGTGTGTTTGTGGCCATCAGGACGATTGGGAACATCATGATTGTCACCACACTTCTTCAGTTCATGTTTGCCTGTATCGGTGTGCAGCTGTTTAAGGTGCTCCAGCAAATACTTTCACATGAAAGCAAGATTTTGTATTTAACACACTCCATTAACAAGCAGTTTTCATTGTTACGTGATGAAAATGTGTTATCCTCAGGGGAAGTTCTACCGCTGTTCTGATGATGCAAAAACAAGTCCAGAGGACTGCAGGTGAGTGAATGAAGAGTTTCACAGTGAATACACAGTGTCTGTGCCTGTGTTCCACCATCTTTTTGTCTTTCTAGAGGGACGTTTATCGTGTACAGTATTGGTGAGACGGCACTGCCACAAATGTGTGAGAGGATCTGGTACAACAGTGACTTTAACTTTGATAATGTGCTGATGGCTATGATGGCCCTCTTCACCGTCTCAACGTTTGAGGGCTGGCCGGCGTAAGACCATAGCGCACCACACACACACACACACACACACACACACACACACACACTAATAAGAACTGATCACTATAAGACAATAAACCTAAAGAAGCTAAAACTATGAAACTAAAATAAATCCTAAGTAAAACAGATTGACAGCTTTTATGCCTAATGGTTATTTGTAAAGCGCTAAACACAAACATTAGAAGCCATAATTCTACAGTTAAAGAGAATACACTTTCATGACTGTTTCTTAACACACTTAAATACACTTATTTTACATTAAAGTATATATTAGTTTACTGTAAATGCTTGTCAGTACAGTACACTTAACAATATACAATATACACAATATACGTAGACAATAGATGTAATTATGAAATTACATACACTGCAAAAAAAGATTTTCTTACGGTCTGTGAGAATATAACTATAAAACAGTACAGTATGATTATAGCAGCTGCCTGCATTTTAAGAACACCGTACACGTCTGCATTTGACTGCTGTGTGTCTGATGCTAAATGGTGAACTGTACTGTAAGTATTCTAATATCACATCATAAATCAGTGGTTCTCAATTGAAATATTAAAATGCAAGTATGTAATTGTGTATAGTTAAAAACAAATAGACTGAACTATTTCCCACATCTTCTGTTGAAATGCATTGGTCCGTTGAGTGTGTTTTGTCTCCTGCAGTCTGCTGTACAAGGCCATCGACTCAAAGAAGGAAAACATGGGTCCCGTCTACAACTACCGCGTGGAGATCTCCATCTTCTTCATCATCTACATAATCATCATCGCCTTCTTCATGATGAATATTTTTGTGGGTTTTGTCATTGTCACGTTTCAGGAGCAGGGCGAGAAAGAGTACAAGAACTGTGAGCTGGACAAGAACCAGGTCTGCAAGTTCATACGGATATTATTGTGATCCAGCTAGGATATGGATGAAAGACGAGGGTGTGAGTTTTCTTGTGTGTTTTGACAGCGCCAATGTGTGGAGTACGCTCTGAAAGCCCGTCCGCTGAGGAGATACATCCCTAAAAACCCGTACCAGTATAAGTTCTGGTATGTGGTGAACTCCACGGGCTTTGAGTATGTCATGTTTGTGCTCATCGTCCTCAACACACTGTGTCTGGCCGTTCAGGTGAGGAGACGGATCTGAACATCAGCACTGTTACACAAACACAAGCGTGAACACAATAGGAGATGCTTATATCAGGATGTTGTAGAGGATATTCATCATTCTGCAGACCAAAATCAGTTACAGTGGTTTGGAATGACACGAGGGTGATTAAATGACTACAGTTTTTAATTTGGGGGCAAACTGTCCCTTTTAAGCTCACAAAAGAAAGTACTGAAGGATTGTACTAGATTCCACATAAAAAATGATGTTCTTTTTTATTTTCTATGTATCGTACACAGCATCACGGCCAGTCACGTCTTTTCAATTATGGGATGGACATTTTGAACATGGTGTTCACGGGTGTCTTTGCAGTCGAAATGATTCTCAAACTGGTTGCCTTCAAACCAAAGGTACATTTTTTTTTTGTCTGGCTATGATGCAGTGATGTCAGAGCGCTTTTACCCCTGTCCTGTGATGTTTAACCCTATCCTCCCCTCGCTGGTGTCTGTCTGATTAGGGTTATTGTGTGGACCCCTGGAATGGGTTTGATGCTCTGGTGGTGATTGGCAGCGTAGTAGACATCGTTCTGAGTCAGGTAGACCCCCGACTTTCCTCTCGTCTGTCTGATCTTTTTCTCACCTCTGCTAGTTGCTGTTGTCTGATTTTGTGTACGTTTAAATCACTGCTCTCTCGTCCTTCAGTGTGCTGTGTTTATGAATCTATCTGACACTATGCTTTCAGGAAGTCTTATTTATACCCAGGTTGCAGAATTTAGGCAACAGCAAAATGCTAAAACATTTCAGATCAGAAGACATCAAATGTGATTATACAGATGTATTATAAATATTTGTGCTGACTAATAAATGATATGGGAGTCTCACAATACCTGTCAAGAACATGTCATATTTGTCCCCAAAATCATCCTATCTGGTTTAGGACCTTTAAGATTGTTTGCATTGTGATTATTTTTATGACAATTAAACACATTTAAACCCCAAATTCAGATGCAGAAAAATCTCATTGTAGGAAAAAAAAAAAACCCACTTATTTTCATGTACTTAGTTTACAGTATTTATACAGTAGTATGTATTGTTCCTTTAATCTGTACGGAATACTGTACAGTAATCCAGTTATTATTATAGAAACAAATAAATAAATAAAAGCTGACAGGGTGATCAAGGCCCCATTCTTCCTTGTTGAGCGAGGGACAATAGTCGTTTAATATATTATTAGTATAAACATTCTTTGAATATATTAATAATATTGTGTAGACTATAATAATAATCACAGCTGATTTTACTCATTCAAAGATTTTTTTGTGAATTAAAAATTACCTGATAATTTTTTTTGGAGGTAATTATTACCTAAAATGTAATTAATACCTAAATAAAATGTAGGTATTAATTACATTTTAATTAATTTTTTTTATAATTGAAATAAACTTTTAACTATACTTAAAGTAGATTTTAAGTATCAGTGAATTTATAAAAATGATTTATGTATTACATGAACTTGCTGCTTCTGCGATTTGACTTGGTGTTTTGTAATTAGATTTCAAATGATTTACTCTCAAAATAATCGCGTCTGTTTAAAACAGTCTTACAGCTTAATTTGAAGAATTCTCAATAAAACCATGTACACAGTTTAGTTTTCAGGTCAGGAGCAGGTGTAAAGTTTAGTCTGAGCAACTAACATTTAGAAAGTATAAAAAGTTCACGAATATAACAATTTACATAAGAATGGTTTTATTTCTGATTTTTATGAGTTCTCACGTGAGCTCTGCTCATGTTTCATGAATGAGACACATTGAGAATTATGAGAACCACAAAAATAAATAAATAAATCAAGTGAAACGTCTGGACACATTAGAGTATGTGTCTTGCAGATGTCAATGCAAAAGGTTTCCATTTTCTTAATGCAAAGTATAGTTTTATTTATTTTTTATTTTTTTTATGGTAAAATGTGATGTGGGCATGCTATTATGAGATTCGTCATATAAAAACAAGCATGTTATATATAAATACCCAGACTGCCAAGCTGTTGTTATTGTAGGATGTGTCTCAATCTGCTCCCTAGTTACAGTGCACTGGTTAGGTAGTAGGCCATCAGGAATGTCCCGTTGTCAAAAAGAACACAATTCCCCACAAAAAAAACAGCGAGCATTCACTTCACTTGTCATGGCATGCCATCATGTCCAGTCTCTCAACTTGACAGAAATGAAGGAGGAGCACATCTGTGGTACAATGTAGATGCATGATTAAAAAAGTGACAAAAGTGACGTGTAGCCAAGTATGGTGTCCCATACTTGGAATTTGCACTCTTCATTTATCCCATTCAAGTGTGCACACACAGCAGTGAGTAGTGAACACTCACCTGGAGCAGTGGGCAGCAGTTGGGGGTTTGGTGCCTTGCTCAAGGGGTCTCACCTCAGTCGTGGTATTGAAGGTGGAAGAGAGCGCTGGTCATTCACTCCCCCACCGACAATCCCTGCCGAATCTGAGACTCAAACCCGAGACCTTTGGGTTACAAGTCCGACTCTCTAACCATTAGACCACGACTGCTCCTAAAACAAAACAAGTCCAAATGTTTAGTGGTTTAAGACGCTTTATAGTGTCAGAATTAGTGTGTGTTCACAATATGCTGACTGACGTAATGGGGAAGTAGGGAGTGGAATGAGACAGCAACAGTGTGTCGCTCTTTCTGTGTATGACTGCAGCATCATAACTGTGACTTTCTTCTGTCTTTTTCTTCCCACTTTCTGTTCCTTTGTCCATTCATCTCTTTCTTCCAATCCTCCTTTCCTCTCTCATCTCTCTGTTTCGCTGGGTGACCACAGCACTATTTTGCCGATGCATGGAACACGTTTGATGCCTTAATTGTTGTTGGTAGCATCGTTGACATTGCGATCACAGAGATCAATGTAAGTAAAAGCGGCATCCAAGCCCAGCATCTCTGTCTGTTTTTGTCCTGATATTGAAGATGAGGCTTATGTGGGTCATTTTCAGGAAAGGGGCCATTTGTTTCCACATCTTACTGCTGATACAAACAGGAGACATGTAGTCACATTCTATGATCAATGAACTCTGTTTAGTGAGCGATCGTTTCACATACAATGTTTGTTCTTCAGCTAAATATCAGCCAGCTGCCAGTTGTAATAGGTTAAAAGAAATAATCTCATCCTAACTATTTGCAGTTATTGAAATGATTTGCATTTATCTTTGTCCCTGTGCATTTTTTTGGCCTTTCCCCCATTATTTGGATAGGGCAGTGCAAGGGACAGGGAGCATTGGAGGAGGAGCAAGGGGAAGTGGTTTGGGAAAAGACCTGTGCTGAAGCTCAGTCTACTGTTATACATGCGTTCTCTATGAATCCCCTGAATCAAGCCCAAGAGGCCGGTGTTATCCTGGACAAATAGGCTCTTATACCTCCTGATAAGTGAAGAAGTGATCTGTGAAGGTCTTGTGCAGATGCAACAAGCAGTCTGATGCAGAATGCGGTCCTGAGCCTAAGCTGTGGGTTAGAAAGTGGCTTATGGATAGAAACACAAGAGTGACATGTTGAGCGAGTTGATAAAAACAAGAACTACAGATTCAGGATTAGAGATAACAACCCACATTTGTTGACCATTAATCTGAATGTGGGAAGGAAACCCCACAGTGTTTATGGCAGTGACATCCAAAGGCCTTTTGGCCTGAGGTTCTTGAAATCCTTTTCCAAAAGAATGAAGGCATGAAAGCTTCAGGCACAAATAGCACTGTTTTCTGAGAATGACCTTTATTTACTGTTTAGAGTGACCCAATAGAACTGAACTGAATTACTGAATTCCTTTTTTTTTCTTTTGTGTATTTGTAAACTCCGTGTTGAGGAGAGTGTCTAGGCATAATTAGTTTGAAAAGAAACAATTGCATTTCATGTATTTCATCATGAAGAAGCTCAATAATTCAGGCATGAGTTTGCTACATAGCTATCTATAACACACACACACACACACTATATACTATATGATGATTATATGAGTTTTAATACGAGCCGTTTGATTTGTTGAAGCACACAGAAGCTGCAGTATTTGCAGTATAGACAGTGGTAAGGTGCCCGGTGTGTTGTCTTGAAAAGAAGATCCTTGTCATGACTATGGGACCATTAAGCATTTGTCGTTGGGAATATGAAGCCTGTAGTGCATGCACAAACTCTGCATGAAAATTACTAGTGAATGATGCAGAACATTAAAACACTCAAAGAACGGTCTGTTCACATACTCATCGCACACAATCCACACACTGTGCGATGTGTGATAGAGACACGCTGAAGTATAGAGAGTGGAAACACATGATGCCTTATTAACATGAATGCTGTCTGGTGTTTTTCTCAGAACACGGAAGACAGCGCAAGAATTTCCATCACATTCTTCCGTCTGTTTCGTGTCATGCGCTTAGTGAAGTTGTTGAGCAGAGGAGAGGGCATTCGTACGCTCCTCTGGACCTTCATCAAATCATTTCAGGTACACTCATTTTATAACTCAATTTATTAAATGACTTTCTGGAATCCTTGTTTGTGATTGGTCAGTTTGGGCATTGAGTGGACAAATTATTGTAGATAACTAATTATCCAATATACAAGTGACAATTTTACATCTCCCATATCACTCAACACTCAAGTTCATTTGTGCTAGAGGTCTGCATTCCCGCAGCTCTCCCGCGGGAACCGACCGGATTTTTTGCGCTGCGGGATTAAATTCCCGAATAAAACGTTTTATTTTCTCTGACACTTTTTTTCCTACTGTGTTGCATAAAATAGGCATATTAAACGAATTTTGTGTCTTAAGATAATTCATATAAATTCAAGTCAAAGTCAATCAATTCAAGACTCTTGACAAGACGAATAAAATAACAAAATTTTGTGCAGACTACACTTTTAGTTGTCAGCCTATCTCTCTTTCTTTCAATAGAGGAAATTTAAATGTGAGATTCTGGAAACGAGATCTAAATTTAGCAGGAACGGTCGGGTCAGGAAGAAAATTATTCTAAGCGGACAGCGGGTGAACCAAGAGTGAATATATAGCGGGAGCGGGTGGGTGCGGAATAGAACCTTGCGGGAGCGGGACTAAAAAAACAGTACCGCGCAGACCTCTAATTTGTGCCATTTCTTATGTCTCAGAATCATTAACTTTGACTGTGATTAAAAAGCTGAGAATAAAACCTGAAGTTTATGTGTCATCAGTTAAAGCGAGAAGTTGGAAAAAAAGTCTGGGCATTATAGCAGCTTTCATTGGCCAATAACCACCTACTTAGAGAGGAAGAGGCTATGTCACTGGCAAGCAAAGCATCCAAACACGGTTCGGTTTTTTCAGCATCATGTTTTACTGATGGAGCAGGGAGTCCACAGGGCTGGACAGAACCAGCAGAGGAGGAAGGGCTAGGGTGCTGAATGAAACCAGTCACTCATGTCATGTTGAACAGGTCTGGCTGGAGAGGAAGGGCTGTAGGGGTGGGAATTAATTCCAGCAGGGAAAGGGCTATAAGCACTGACTCTGAGATGGACTGTCACTGGGCAGTGGACGCTGTCTCCAGGACAGATAAGGTGGTGGGTACTGGCTCAGGGTCTGTGGTGGGTGTGTATGCTGGCTCGGGGTCACAATCCTCTTCCACCTCATCCACTGTGAAGGGGGATTCACTAAATTGAAGTACCAATTCAATGAAGTCGCAAAATGTCCCTCGAGAACCATTGACAGGGAGTAGATCAGTGGTTCCCAACCACATTCCTGGAGGCCCCAATCACTGCACATGAGCTCATTAGTAGAGACTCCAAAATCTGAAATCCAGGAACAGGGTTGGAAACCACTGAGGTAGAGAATTTAGTGGTTCTTTAAGTCTGACTTGATAAAAAGATATGATATGCTAGATCAGGGGCATCCTATGCTGCTCCTGGAGGGCCAACATCCTGCAGATTTCTAGCTCTAACCAGCTCCAACACATTTTTTTGGAAGTTTCTAATGAGCCTGAAGACTCTGATTAGTTGGTTCAGGTGTGCTTAATTGGGGTTGGTGCTAAACTCTGCAGGACAGTGGCCCTCCAGGAACGGGTTAGGGCACCCCTGTGCTAGCTCCAAAAACTCATGGGTGTAGTCTAGGGCTGTCCAAACTCGGTCCTGGAGGGCCGGTGTCCTGCAGAGTTTAACTCCAACCTGCCTGCAAGTGTCTAGTATGCCTATTAAGAGCTTGATTAGCTGGTGCAGGTGTGTTTATTTGGGGCTGGAGCTGAACTCTGCAGGACACCGGCCCTCCAGGACCGAGTTTGAACAAACCTTATTGGAATCAACCATTCAGGATGAGGAGGAGACTAACGGGTACTAGATGCATTTCCAAGTTGGTTCTTCAGCCGTGGAGTGAAGGAGAGAGTTGAGGCTTGGATCTAAATGCAAGCTATAAATTAATTTAAAGAAACCCAAAAACTTAGTAACACAGGAATAAAGAAACAAAAACCACAGCATCACAGATTACTAGACAAAAAAAATAAAAAAATAAATGAAGGCAAGAACAAGAACCGGCAAGGATCAACTAAATCAGAGGCATATATAGACAAAGAATAATGAGCAACTGAACTAGACACAAGGTGAACATAATCAGAAACCATGGAAACTAATAGAAGCAAGAACCCACACAGGAAGACAAAATTGAAACAATGCCAAATAAACTTCAAAATAAAGTCTTAGGAACCACAGGCACATCAGAAACATGACACATTTACTTACGTGATGTAGACAATTTAGCCATCTGAAGAAAAAAAAAATCTACTTTTTTAAGTAACTTATTTTAAATTTGAAAGTTAAAAAAAAATAGAGAGAGAAAAAAAAAACTCCCATCTAAATAAACTGGGAGTATCTCAATTCTGAATTGTTGATTGAAATCACATACGTTGGATGATAACTCACGACTGATTTCGGAGGCTAACTATTAGCTAACTAACTAGTCCATATAAAGAAGTAACTTGGATTTCAGATTAATAAAATACATTGTGTAATGCTTCACTTCATCTTATAGTTTATTTATCAATATTCAATAATGAAGACGGGCTGATCTAATTTCCTCTGTGTCTCTCAGGCTCTTCCATATGTGGCTCTACTTATTGCCATGTTGTTCTTCATCTATGCTGTCATTGGAATGCAGGTAAATCATCTGCTGGTGTCATATAGTAAACCTGTTGTGAATTATGATAATGTGATGGTTTTATTATTTTAGGTGTTTGGGAAGATCGCCATGGTGGATGGAACCAGTATTAATCGTAACAATAATTTCCAGACCTTTCCACAAGCTGTGCTTCTGCTGTTCAGGTGTGTTCACGAGAATATTGTGTGTTTGTGAGCCTTACTGGAAGGATGAAGCTGTACATACTTATTATCAAAGCAGTGTAAAATAAGTGACATAACATACAATAATACTAGTGTAATATTAACTAGTAAAAAATATGAAGGTGAGTGAATGTTTTCAGTAAGCATAGCTAACAAATTTATGCATTAAAAATATAACATTTAATCAGAAACCAAGTAGTACATTCTTTGCTGAATTGCTAAGTTTGGTCAGGCTATGCACCTCCTCCTTTTGAATACCAAATCTACGAAATGTCAAAGTTTTGTATGTTGGTCGGCTGTCCGTGATGCACCGTACCAGAGAGGACTAATTTGTAATAAGAGTTCAAATCAAAATGAATTTGCCAATTATTGTAATAATACAAAAAAGTCCAGGACAGTCATTCATTGTTTTTTTTTCTCTTACCGTATGTCAGATGTGCGACGGGTGAGGCATGGCAGCTGATCATGTTGGCGTGTTTGCCTGGCAAACAGTGTGACTCTGAGTCCGACTATAACCCTGGAGAAGAGAAAACCTGCGGCAGCAACTTCGCTATCCTCTACTTCATCAGCTTCTACATGCTCTGTGCTTTTCTGGTACCTCAGAAGATCTCAGCTTTCAAGATGTGTTGTATTTGTGTGTTTAGTACTTCTATTCAGTCTCTATAATCATGCATCTACTCTTGTGTAGGGCTGTCAAAATGACTGAAAAACGAAATTCGAATTTTCTACTGTTTAAAATAATGTTTATAAACCATATATAATTAATAAAGTTGCTTAAACAATTAGAAAAAAGAAAAAAAAACAGCATCATGCATGTATGTATAGATTAATACAAAGGACCGAAAACCAATCACAAAGAGTAGGCTACTTTCTTCATTTAAAAACATGAGATACAGTAGGATGGGGAAAACCGCCAGACATGTTTTTTAAAAGTTGAACTTACATTAATTTTACATTAATTTTGCTTTCTAAACATGCCGCTCTCTTGTGCGAGACGTGAGTGCAACGGTGATAGATGTCCCTCTAGAAAATGTAATAAATATGCATTCTGTGTGAACGGCTTGGTTTCAGTTTTGACGTAAATAACATCTTCTCCACACTGATGTTCTCGTTTTCCACAATATACTGTATGAACAACGTAGCCGCGCCGCATCTAGTGGGTTCAACTGGATAGGCTAACAAAAGCATTAAAATGCAATGAAACTTACATCGTCGTCGCATTTCGTGCGCCACTGATAGGCTGCCTGACAGCTGACCTAAAATTCGAATGCAACGTTTTTGCATTCGAATGTGTATTTATTATTTTTTTTAATTCGACGAATATTCGAAATTAGAATTTTTTTTTGACAGCCCTACTCTTGTGTGTAACGGACTCAGGCTTGGTGTTGGGTTTGAATACATTTGCTGAAGGTTATGGAAAGCAACAATCCAAATCAACAGGCAAAGGGATGGTCAAAAATACAAGCATGAGTCGAAGATTTGGAATAGACAGTCCAAATAAACATCCAAATCAGAAACAATAATCGAAGAGTCCAAAAAAACAGGCAATGGTCATAACAAGAAGCAGTCACAATAGCAATAGAAACCACTCAGTAAGACTGGCAATACTTCGCAATTTAATACTGGAAAGCATGGCTTTTTATACAGAGCAAACAGGACGTGACTGTAAAGAAAATGGTGTGAGATCACTATTCGGGTGAGGGCTCCCTCTGGTGGTTGGAGGGAACAGATGATTCACTGTGTTCTTGCTCTTTTTCTCTTCAACATTGCTTTGTTTCCGTACTCAGTAATAATTGTTTTTATTTTGTTATTTGACATAAATGATATTGCTCAGTTTTGTTATTGTTCTATTTCACCAGATCATTAATCTGTTTGTCGCTGTCATCGTGGACAACTTTGACTACTTGACACGTGATTGGTCGATTCTTGGACCACATCATTTAGATGAATTCAAGAGGATTTGGTCGGAATATGATCCTGAGGCCAAGTATATATCCAAAAGATGTTTTACTTCCAGATCACTCTGTGTGTGTTTTGTTTGACAGTGAATACTGTGTGTGTGTATCAGGGGCCGTATAAAACACTTAGATGTGGTGACGTTACTGCGCAGGATTCAGCCGCCGCTGGGCTTTGGCAAGCTGTGTCCTCATAGAGTGGCTTGCAAGGTATAAAGCACATAAAGCACACTCACACAGACATAGATTTTGCAATTTGAAGTTCTATACAAGATTTGTTTTTCTGTGGTTTAAGTAGTGTCTCCAGGATAAGAAGATTTAATGCAAAATCAAGCAAATTAAGCTTTTTTCCCCCCAGGCAGCTTGCATTTGATCTCATTTCCACAATTTGTTGGAAAAACAAAACAAAACAACAGCAACCATGAAGTGGAAAAGCAGTATTAGATAATCATAATTCTTCATTCTGAGCCCTAACAAATTAATCACTATGTAGCCTTGTTTATGTTTCTATAGTTTATATGTTAAGCATGTGAGGCAAAATTAAACTTTCTATAGGATTATTGATACTATTAAACTACTTTTTATTTACTGAACATTATATAACATTATATACTGACATACTTGTCCTAATAATGCCTGATTTTACCAGTTATATAGATTTCATTAAGTGCAATGTTTTACACTTTTTTTTTTTTTACCATTTCTGGTGAATGGAATCACTGATAATACTGTGATTAGATGGATGGAAAAAATGCAAAACAATGCTACAACAATGAGCAATTATGTAAATGCCAATTTAGAAAAAAACAAACATAAAATAATGATTTAAAACGTATAAAATGTACAGTTGATTACTTAACATATTGGTTCAGTGACAGTATGCAAGCTATTGTATGACACAAAATACACAATTCTGTATTTTCAGCAAAGCAGAATTATGAATATTTCTATGGCCTTGTGCATGGGCGACCAGGACCAAATATTCAGTATTATTCAGTCATTAACACTAATTACATGAGTACATCATGAATATTGGTGGGTTTTCACTGTAAAAAATGCGGCAAATATTGCTGCAGTTTTTGAGAAAAGCCATAGTAAATTCTGTAATTTTGGACCGCAAAAACAAAAAAGGACTGTTCAAGAGCATGTGATATAATATTAATAAAGCATATATAATATTAATAAAGGAAGTGTAAATATAAACATGCATTAGATGGATTATACTCACAGACTAAACACAGTCTAAACTCCCCTCTTTCTCTTAATATTGTGTCTCCTCAGAGGTTGGTTGCCATGAACATGCCACTAAATAGCGACGGTACGGTCATGTTCAATGCCACACTGTTCGCTCTGGTTAGAACTGCTCTGAAAATCAAGACTGAAGGTAAAGCTTTTGCAATGCAGACTTTCACATGTCTGTGCTGGTGTGAATGGGTCATTAATTATGACTGTGTGTCTCCCAGGGAATATGGAACAAGCCAATGAGGAGTTACGAGCCGTCATCAAGAAGATCTGGAAGAGAACCAGCATGAAACTCCTGGACCAAGTAGTGCCACCTGCTGGAGGTAAAACACACACACACACACACACAGACACACAGACACACACACACACAGGTTTCCATATTTTATGGGGACATCCATGGGGGCTTATTGATTTTTTTTTATACTGTACAAACTGTATTTTCTATCCCTACCCCTAAACCTACCCTTCACACAAAGATTTCTGCATTTTTTGATTTTCAAAAAAACTTAATTCTGTGTGATTTATAAGGTAACACTTTATTTTGATAGTCCACTTTAGGCATTCTACTACCTATAAGTAACTTTGCAACTACATGTCAATTAGCAGTCATTAGAGTATTAGTAGACTCTCTGTTTAATATCTAATAACACTTTATTTTGATGGTCGCTAAATAGACGTTCTACTGACTATAAGTAACTTTGCACACACACACACACACACACACACACAATGTGTCCTATGTCAAGGAACTTGTGTTTATACGATTTTATAATGTATAGGTCATTCCTTTTATGTAGTACGTTTTGAATGTCCTGACACGCTCATGCAGTCATGTCTGGATGAATGGTTCTTGTCGAGTGGATGCAGCCATGCGCTATGTAGGGTCACAGAGATTCTAGAGGCAGGGAAACACCCTGGACAACCTGGCCAGAACATTAAAATGGACAGTTAAAATGCACACACACATTCATACTCAAGTCAAGTCAAATTTATTTGTATTGCGCTTTTCACACTTTACAGAAAAGTCACACGGTGATGTCAAAAATGCTTTAGTGCTTTACCATAGTACAAGATTTAGTGCTGGGCCATATGATGATCTATCAGATTTTAGATCTAGCCATATTGTATTAATAGTGTTTTCTACCACAAATATCAGTGCTGCAGTGAAAGGCAATAAGAGATTTGATCGGATGTTTCAGGTGAACAGTCTGAAAAGTCTAATGCTCGGGTAATTAAGGGATTTAGGCAAAGGTCAGTTTTGTTGTAAATGAGAGTAAAGAATTCTCAGAAAACATCAAATGATACGATTCAAGTGAAAAATAGACAGTTGTCAAAGTGTCTGATCTATTGTGTTTAGAATTTTCCAAATTTAATTAGAAGTCTTTTAAACATCAATGATGAGAAATATTTAGGTTTGGTTTAGATTTAATTTCAGTTAGTAGCATCTCTGATTTCAGGCAGAATTAGTTATAATGTGATAGTGTTCTTCTCTGTGGTTAAAAATCACTTGTTGTGGCAAAGATTTTGTTTAAATCACCCATCTCTCAGTAATTAAAAAAAAAGAGCAAGCCAGAGGTGACGGTGACAAGGAACCAAAAACTCAATTTTGGTGGTAACAGGAGAAAATAAACCTCTGGCTAAACAACATTCATACACTCACTCACATCTGCAGACAGTTTTTACAGGGTCTGATTCACCTAAAGTGCATGACTTTGAATTGTGGGAAAACCAGAGCACGGGAAGGAAAGCCAAAACGAGAAGAACATGCAAATTCCTCACAGAAAGGCTTCCTGGCCGGGACTCAAACCAGGAAACTTCTTGACATGACAGATATTTCCTAGAAAACATGTTTTGTTTAAAAAAAATTCAGTTAGAGAGAGAGAAAAAAAAAAGAGTAACACCTGCAATATTTCCTAATTAACTGTCAGTTTTTCATTGTGGACGTTCATCAGCATGGCAGCATGACAGCATGACAAAAATGAACATCCACTCAAAACAAATTTAAAATGTACAAAAAACAAATTCTAAACTAATTAACCATTACTAATATGATTTTCAGTGTACCAAAGCATATTGATGGGGACATGAAAATGCACTGCATGACAGGAATGACTCATGAACTTAATAACATAAATGACACTTTTTTAACTTCATACATAGGGGTTTGTGTAATGATATGAGTAGGTCATTGGCTGTTTGTGTGGTCTGTGTGTTTAGATGATGACGTCACTGTGGGGAAGTTCTATGCCACTTTTCTGATACAGGACTACTTCAGGAAATTCAGGAAACGCAAGGAGCAAGGACTTGTGGGATGCCAACCCTATTTAAACAGCACCACCGCTCTGCAGGTGAACTAAAACTGTAAAAACATTGGGCTCTGATTTACTGAAGGTTTAAAACTAATTTTGGCCATTGTGTAAAGAAAATACAGCAGAAGTAGATTTAAAGGGGTCATATGATGCTTTTTTAAAGATCATTATTTTGTGTATTTGGTGTATCAGAATATGCTGACATGCTTTAATGTTCAAAAAACTAACTGCGGTTACTGAAACCACGCCTTCTTTCTTTGCGTGCACATTTGGGTGGCATTATGCTAATATTTCCACATAGTGAGGTAGATATGTGGGGGCGTGTTAGAACAAGCCGTTTTAGGGGGGCGTGGCAGAGTCTTTGATAAAGAATATCTCTTTGGTTTTGAGACTTTAGTCTTTGCAGCTTCAGGGATCTTATCTATGCACAATCAGCTTGTAACACTCCAAAGAGAAAGGAAAACTTGAAATCGCATCATATGACCCCTTTAATGAATTATTTTAAATATGAAATGGTGTGTTTTTATCTGTCTTTTCTGCAGGCTGGTCTGCGCACACTGCATGATATCGGCCCTGAGATCCGTCGAGCCATATCATGTGATCTACATGATGAAGGTCTAGTAGACGTCAACCTCCATGAGGAGGAAGAGATATACGGGGTAGAGCACTTCAGTCTTTATCAGTGCATATGTAACTAAATAGTAGTGCACAGTAGTGCAAACTAATAGTGCATATGTAACCAAATATCATGGGTTTGGTTCCAAGGGAATGTGTGATTGAGGTTCTATTATTGTGTGATTGAGGGGCTTCATAGGTTTTGGATTAAATTTAAAAGCAATTTTTGCAAATTCAGAATGAACCACTTCATATTTTGATTACATTTTTTTCAATTAGAATATTGATTTGAATGATATGTAGTACGTTCTCTAATGCAGGGTTCTCCAACACTGCTCCTGGTGAGCTGGGCTGTGTTCCACTTCGTTTTTTATGCCCTTCACTTGCTAAATTCCCTCTGTCTCTTTGAATTGCATGTATGTCATTGATTATGTTGCATGAGTGCCCACTAATGCCGGAACCCTTGCAATGGGCTGAATTGGAACGTCCTAAGCCCTTGATCACTTGGAATCTGCTATGGAGTTGATATATTATTTGCATTTTTTATCTTACAAATTCATTTGATGCAGTATTCTATATGAATATAATGCTTGGGCTGTTTAAAATTTTTTTTTTTTTTTTTAATAAAATATTAAAATTTTTTAGTGTAGGGGTAAATAAAACACGATCTGTGGTGACATCACAATCGTGTTGCATTGTGGCAGCCTGAGGTGTACATATGAAATTGCTGAATTAACACAAATGACCCATTTCAAAAGTTTAATTACACTTGATTGATACTGTGTGTTGTTACCTGTATGATCCTTTAAAGTTTTTGTTTTGTGTTCATGAGTTCCTTGTTAAACTTGTTGTTTAAGCAACCACTGTTGTTCAGAACAAGAAAAAAAAAACCCTGGTCCAAGTTTTAAATGAAAGTAAATACATCTTGTTATAAGGACCTTTACATATTTTTACTGGAAAACCCATCAGTGTATATAATTAAAAATAAGTAATTTGATTTGTCTGTTCATGAAAATGTAGGGAATCCATGGGAATTGTTATTGATCCTGTTGTTTGTGTGTGCAGAGGAATGGAGTTGTGGTTGGAAATCATGTGAGTGGAGATCAGTGCAGCATCGTCACACAGCGTCCTCTGCAGCTTCCACTTCCTCTGTGCTCCACCCAAAATGACTGTCCGTCGATGTCAGACAAATCATCCAACTCAAATATCAACAATGCCAATGTGCCATCGGCCTCTGCCTTTCCCAACGGCTGGCACAGTCGCTGCCGGCGGCTCTCCGGGACCCTGGTGTCCTCTCTGAGCTCCTACCTCAACCTCAAGAGTGATGGAGAACTACAGCTCAGGAGGTGAGAGGTCACAATACCACTGAAATTACCACAGAAAACAAAGTCATAAAAACAAAGAAAAATTGGGCTTACCCTTGGTAAATATGAGCCAAACAGGCCATGGAAAAATAACTTTGCTGTTTATCCTTCATTCAAAATATTCACTAATATCTAACCTGTAATTATTAAAATAATTGAAAGAAAAAAATAATTGAAATAAAAAGATCTTAATTGAAAGATGAAGATTCTTAGAACCAAACAAATGTTTTCTCCTATACTGTTGATGAACATATGGCAATAGATCTGAGACCATTCCTCCATACAGAATCTTTCCTGATCCTTCATATTAAAACATTCATACTTATAGACTGTTTTCTTCAGCTCAATGGTTTTCTAAAGGGGTTTGATTTGGGAACTGTTATGTCCATGACTCCATGGCAAAACCACTCTGGTAACCTCTGTTCCCTTTCGAAAGGTAACTTGTGCATAGTGGCTAATAACTTGCCCTAGAGGGCACTATGAGGGAATGCCTCCTGCATGACTGGTGTCTGAAGCATCAGTCTAAACATGACAATGAACTTGACATTGGCAGGCGGCAGCCTATGACGTCACAACTGGTGCGGTCGAGAGTATAAAAGGGCACCTGTGAAATACGTCAACCTCTTTATTGTCTTCAGGAGACCGTTTGTTTGTACATGAGTTAGGAGCACACGCGTTTAGCTCCTGAGGGAGCAGAATGTGCGCACTGAAAGGATTTCTCAATGAAAGCTTCATTCGTGCCGTCCCTATTCTCGAGGGATGTGGGACACACTTCAATGCTGTCTTCTCTTCGAGCAAGCTGAATGCGCTAGGGATGATGCATTCATGAGACTGACAACAAGAGACAGGTAAGGAACTCTTTCCTTTCTGCTCTCTCCTAAGGGATAGTAGTTAGTGTTTACATGAGCGCGTTCGGCTCTCTTTAAGGAGCAATGCATTCACATCTGTTCTCGTATGATTCTTTTCAGAGTGATATAATCTGTCATTTGAACTAGCAGGCTTGAGGTTAAATTGTGCGCTTTTCACGAGGAGGTTGCAGTAATTGGTTCCACCCAGGCTTGACTCTCTCTTGAGGGATGAGTTGAGCGCCTGCACCCCGCAGTCGGGTCCCGCGACACCCATTACCATACAGATAATTTCTGTCTGTACATACTGCTTGTCCTTGTGAGCCTTCTGTTTTTCCTTTGATCTCCATACTGAGGCAGAGAGATTGTAAGGGATTCCATATTTGGTGGAAATGTGTTGATGCCTCTTTTCTGTTTCTCAGTAGCTGAGGCGTCCTCATTGAAGGCTCTGACCTGGCCATTTGGGTTTTTAGGTTTTGCTGAATGGCAGGTTCAGTAAGGAGCTCTGCTCTGATAGCATCATCAAGTCGTTAGGCTTTCTGTAAGCCTCCTTGGTAAGCCGTTCTGAGTATAGGACGTAGTTTGGCCTCCTCTGATCTTAAAGAGTTGTTATGCTGAGGCCTCCCTCCTCAGAGCTCCATCATGCAGTGGTGCGGAGTTGTTAGGCTTTCTGTGTCTCCTTGGCCGCTGCTTTGAGGTAGGGTTACGTATGAGCCCAGCTATAGGCTAGCAAGTGCAAGTTGTAGGCTCTCTGTGAGCCTCAGTTTACATGCATAACCAGAGATGTTTCCTTTCGAAAGGGAACTCGTACTGTGTCCCCTAGAGGGCGTTATGGGGAACGGTATACTCATGCCGCCATGCTGAAGGGATGAGTGCCTTATTGGCTGAGCTAAGTCAAAGACTCAAAGGAGTCCTCACCCCTGCACCAGCAACACGATCATAGACTGGAGCTTCTCAAGAACGGAGGCCTCAACAGGAGAGAAGAAGCCTAACTACATTCTTATTCAGGCCAACGTCCAAGGAAATTCACAGAGAGCCTAACACTCAGAGCTAACTGGCCTACGAAGCTCTGCAGAGTGGAGGCCTACATATACCACCTCTTAAATGAGAGGTGGCCTAACAGCACTCCACACTAAGGTCAGTAGCTAAGGAGGATCCCAGAGAGCTTAACAACTTAGCATACTACCCTACCGCCTAGCCTTGAGGCCTAACTATGCCCCGCACTCAGGACATATTGTAAGGAAGCTCACAGAGAGCATACATCTCACAGATGATGTTTTAATGGAGCTCTGCCGAATGGAGGCCTCAATGAAGATAACTCTCTGTAGCGGGAGGAGGCCTGACGACACTCGCAGCAGATGGCCGAGCTCTAGGAGTGGAGGCCTTAGCATGACTCTCTAAAACGAGAGGAGGCCTAACTACGCCCCACGCATAGGATACCGTGCAAGGAGGCTCACAGAGAGCCTACAACCTGAAAATGATGTCCTCAATAAAGATAGATATCTTTATAGAGAGAGGAGGCCTGACGATGCTTGCAGTAGCCACAGAGGCTCAGAAAGAGCCTAACAACTCAGCAAACAATAACAGCTCTAGGAGCAAAAACCTCAGCATAACGAGTCTCTAAATAGTTAGAAAGCTTAATGACGCCACATGCTTAGGAGGCTCACAGAGAGCCTACAACTCGCAAAACACTATCCTAATGGAGCTCTGGGGAGAGGAGGCCTCAATAAAGATAACTCTCTGTAAAGAGAGGCAGCCTGATGATGCTCACAATTGCCAAGGAGGCACACAGAGAGCCTAGCAACTTAAACACAAACCAAGCTCTGGAAATGAAAGCCTTAGCATGATGACTCTCTAAATAGAGAGGAGACTAACAATATCCCACACTCAGGATACCATGCAAGGAGGCTCACAGAGAGCCTACTACTCGCAACGCTATCTTAATGGACCTCCAGGGAGCGTAGGCCTCAGTAAGGTAACTCTCTCCAGCAAGAGGAGGCCTAGCAACGCTTGCGGTAGCCAAGGAGGCTCACAGAGAGCCTAACAACTTAGGCCACTACCTAGTCAAGCCCTAGAAATGGAGGCCTCAACATGACAACTCTCTAATCGAGAGGAGACCTAACTACACCCTATGCTCATGTAGCGTCTGGACCAATCAGACACACCATTTTTCATTTGGAGTTGTACAGTAAGAAAGTTATTTCCCTTAACCAGGAAATTAACGTTCTTAGAATTGACAGACAGTTGACCCTGAGAGGTCAAGTAAATATCTACAGCGGATCTAAATATTTATAATTAATTATAACTAGTTATGATTAATTATTCATATTTCCCCATGAATGAGCTGATTCGCTACACTCAGGACATCTTGCAAAGAGGCTCACAGAGAGCCTGCAAACCACCAATGCTGTCCTAGCAGAGCTCTGGGGAATGGAGGCCTCAATAAAGATAAGTCACTGTCGTGAGAGGAGGCCTGACAACGTTCGCAGTAGCCAGGGAGGCTCACAAAGGGTCTAACAACTTATCAAACTGCCTGGCCGAGCTCTAGAAAAGGTCTCAACATAACGACTCTCTAAGATGAGAGAAAATCTAACTATGTCCCATACTCAGGACATCTTGCAGGGTGGCTCACAGAAAGCCTACAACTTGCACTTGCTAGCTTATAGCTGGACTCATACGTAACCCTACCTAAAAGCAGTGGCCAAGGAGACACAGAAAGCCTAACAACTCTGCACCACTGTGTGATGGAGCTCTGAGGAAAGGAGGCCTCAGCATAACAACTCTCTAATGACGATCAGATTTTTTCTAGATCCTGCATTAAATTTATATTTTGACCTCACTAAGGTGAGAGGAGGCCTAACTACATCCAATATTCAGAACGGCTTACCAAGGAGGCTTACAGAAAGTATGTACAGACAGAAATTATGGCAATCTCCCCCTCTCAAAGAGGTGGTCGCTGCGCATCTGTGCCCTCCATCGGCCCTGGGGTTGAAAGCCCATGCAGCGCACCTATCTAAGCCCTAAGCCTTAAACATGAATGGTCCAGGCTCGCTTGTATGCCTTCCCCCCGATTGCCCTGCTTCCTCAGCTCATCAGATGAGTCAGGGAAGTCAGATGTTTGGTCCTCCTGGTGGCCCCACTCTGGAGGAATCAGACATGGTTCCCCAAGTTGATTCAGCTGCTATCGGCAGCCCCCTGGCCGATACCATTGAGGATGAACCTCCTCTCTCAAGGGAGAGGCATGATTTGGCATCCCCGGCCCGAGCTGTGGAGCCTTCATGTTTGGCCCTTGACAGGAGTCTTTACAGTTCCCTGCGAGTGTGACTAATAACAATTTGAAAGCTAATGCCCGGTCCATGAGATGACTCTATGCCCTTAAATGGTCAGTCTTCGCTGAATGGTGTGCAGCACGGAATGAGGACCCATCCTCTAGTGACGTGTCTTCCATGTTAACCTTTCTGCAAGAGCTGCTGGATAAGGGGTGCACCCCTTCCATGCTCAAAGTCTATGTGGCAGCCATCGTGGCGAATCATGCTCTCGTGGCTGGCCAGTCAGTTGGCTGAAACGACCTTGTCGTTAAGTTTCTGAGGGGAGCTTGGAGATTGAATTTGCCTCATCCTCATACTGTGCCGACTTATGTATAGTCCTCAGGGCCCTACAGGGTTCTCCCTTCGAGCCGCTCCAGTCGGCCGACTTCCAGACCCTGTTGCATAAGACCGGCCTCCTTTTTGCTTTAGCTTCTGTCAAGCGAGTGGGTGACCTGCAAGCACTGTCAGTCAGTGCTTCATGTCTTGAGCTTGGCCTAACGACTATAGAGTTGTCCTCAAACCAAGGAAGCCTAAGGTGCTCTCCACTCCGTTCAAAGCACAAGTCATTACCCTTCTGGCTCTTCCTAATTCAGAGGATGAGCAGGGTCCCAATCCACTCTGCCAGGTCCGGGCTTTTAGAGTGTATATTGAGCACCACTAGGACATCATTTTGCAGGTTGTAGGCTCTCTGTAAACCTCCTTGCACGGTATCCTATGCGTGGGGCGTAGTTAGGCCTCCTCTCGTTTTAGAGAGTTGTCATGCTGAGGCCTCCACTCCTAGAGGTCGGCCATTTACTGTGAGCATCGTCAGGCCTCCTCTAGCTACAGAGAGTTATCTTCATTGAGGCCTCCATTCAGCAGAGCTCCACTAGGACATCATCTGTGAGTTGTATGCTCTCTGTGAGCCTCCTTACAAGATGTCCTGAGCGTGGGGCATAGTTAGGCCTCCTCTAGTTTTAGAGTGTCGTCATGCTGAAACGCGTTTCGTGCCACTCTAAAATCCACGTTTGTGGTAAGTGCACGCGCTGACTGTGTCGTGCCTTTTCTGAAATCCATGCTTATAGTAAGGGCACGTGCCGGGTGCTTTGTGACCTTTCTGTCTGTGTTAGACCCCAATTTGCTCTTAACCAGAGCAGTTTTGCCAAGTCGACTAGGCTCTCTGTGAGCCTCCTTCGATACTGCAAGCATTGTTAGGCCTCCTCTTGTTGAGGCCTCAGTTCCCCATAGCTCCGCTCAAAGAGTAATGGTGAGTAGTAGGCTCCTTGTGAGCCTCCATACAAGATATCCTGAGCGTGGGACATTGTTAGCTCTTCTTTCGATTTGGAGAGTCGTTCATACTGAGGCTTCCACTCCTAGAGCTTGGCTAGGTGGTAGGGTGGTATGCTAAGTTGTTAGGTTCTCTGGGAGCCTCCTTAGGCCACTGGATGTTTGAATGCTGTGTCAGTGAGCTGAATAAAAGCAGTTGAAATCATGCTAAGGCTCTCTGTCTTAACTAAATATTATGGTGCGGTGCAATGATATTGGCTGCTGATTTTTGTACTAATGATTTGAAGTTCCTATGTCTTGTAGGCCGGACACCACTGCTGTCGGATATCCGATCAGCCACATTGAAACCTCCACCCTGGGTGACATCAGTAATGATGACAGGAACTCTGGGGAGTATTACAGTGGAGACGAGTTTAATGAGGATGGTGTCATGCTGGCTACAGACAGGTATTCTAGAAAATGCTTTTCAGAAAGTGTATATCAACAGTAGCCGTTACTTTTATTTTCTCTTTGTTTCCCTTGAAAGGTCATACTTTCAGGGCACTTTAATTGATGGTGCTCCAGCTGGACAACAGGATGCATGTGAATGTGTCTGTGATGATGGTGAGCAGCTCATATCCCAGCAGTCCCAGAGGTCATCAAAACGACTCCTGCTGTCCACAGCTCAATGTGAGATATTACAATGATTATAAGCTTTTTACAGTATCACACTGAGCAACTTTCAAACTGCTTTTAACTGAGAACTAGCAGTACTTTGGGAATAAACATCAGACTGAATGGTTCCTGAACAAGCTGTGAAGATCAGTGGATATATGGTTATAATATGGGTCTTTCACTACCATAAAGCAAAATAAATAAATAAATAAATAAAATAAAAGAAATAAACCTTATATACTGTATATATATTAAATGTATTTTAAAATATACAAAAGATATATAATATATTTGTTAAAATATGTTTCAAAGTATATTTACGTAAATGTATTTTTACCAATATATTTTAGGCCATTTGAATATTTTTGAAAATATATTTAAAAAAATAAATATATTTTTAAAAGCATTTAAAACATACAATATTTGAATAAAATTAACACATTTGAATAAAATTCAGCAAGGAACATACTTTATAATATTACAATTTCTAAAAAATAAATACATAACATTATTGTGTCATTATAAATCTAGTTTTGATCTTTAGTAAGCTATTCCATCCATATTTGAATTTTGTCTAAATGTAGGCTACTGTAAGATTGGAAATGTATTTTCTTGCCCCTAAAATACATTTTGAAATATATTTTGGTTGAAAAATATTGATATTTGATGCATGATATTTTGGTTGGTTTCTGTTTTAAAAAATATTTTTCATTAAGCTTCACTGTTTACAATATATATTAAGCATATATGTAAAATATATTTTGGCCACAAAAATATGACATATAACATGGATGAATTTTGAGAGAAATATGAAAAAAAATACTGCAGTATTGGTTGCACTGTACTTTTAAGAACAGTATTAAAGGAGATATTGATATTTAGAAGGTAACTGGTGCCAGAAATTAACTGTAAAAATATACTGTGACTGTTTTTCCGGTATTACGGGCCTGTATATTTATAGCGATATATAAAGGGCAAAAAGGTTAGAAATAAGTTTGTTAAAATTCTAATTAGAGAATTTTGTTCAGGTTCATCCTTCAGGGCAAAGACTTCTCGCAGCAGCTACAGTTGTTGTTAGTTTATTGTACGTTTCTCCATTTTAATTTAACTCATTTTAATTTCATTTCATATATTGATGTATGTGCATTTTTCCATACAGCCTCTCACAAGTCTGCTTTCCATTTCGAGTGTCTGCGCAAACAGAACAGTCAAGATGAGATTCCCCTGCGTCCAACGGGCCTACCGCATCATCAGGTGATAATCGCAAAATATCCCTAATGAGTCACATGGCATGACATATGCAGGGGCCCCCTACCTTCCTAAGGATGGCCCTGTAGATCATTATCGCCAACATAACAGATTAAGAACAACAGTAGTAGTGTGACATTATCTGTGACATGTACGTGAAGTGTTAGTTACCCAGTGTCTAACAGTGGCATAATTTTTTCTTGCGGTTGTGCAGGTGAAGACGCCGACTGGACAAGAATCGAGTAGAACACGACTCTCTCCGACTCACTCCATCCGCTCCTGGGTCACGCCTCCAGCCACGCCTCCACCCTACACCCCTCTGATTCAGATCACGCCCAGTGCTAGCAGCACTCCGGGATTGGTTCACAGGGGCTTCTGGAATTCCCAGCAGGCCTCTGATTGGTCGACAAGTTCGCCCTCCCCCTCCTTCCTGAAGGTTCCCCCCCGACTGTGCGGCCATCACCTGCAGCAGCGGAGCAGCGCTCAAAGCCTGGTGGAAGCCGTGAGTGATGCCATTTGACGTTGAATGTCGTCACCTTTAGCGCTTTATACAATGCAGATTGTCAAAACAGCTTCACAGATATGAACAGGAAAACAGTAGAATCAATTATGGAAACGTATCTATGGAGACAGTTCGGATTCAGCTGTAAAGCAGCTCTAGAAGTCAGTGGGTGTCATTATTTAGCTCAAGTCAGTTCAGTGTTGGTTCAGTTCAACAGAGTGAAGTTCATCCATTTGAAACGGTCCTGGTTTGGTCCTGTTTGACCTACAGTAATGCACCAGGGTCATTCCCACAGTTTGGTGGATTTTGGACTGAGGTTTGTTGAAAAAAAAAAAAAATATATA